AGAAGGACAGCCCATAAGGGCTGGCTCACATGAGACATAAATTCAGAGGGACTAGAAAGTGGACCAGCATGGTAAGGGCATGAGTTAAAAGTGACTAGAGCTTGTCCAGTAATAACTTCTTAAAAGCAGGGTTATTACTCACTGCTTCTCCTAAAATCAGGTCACTTATTAATCAATCAACAGATATTTATTTATTTCCCCTACTTTTTGTTTTTTAGAATAGGGTCTTTGGAGTCAAATTAAGACCACCCTTCTATTTTCAAAGACTGATTTATGATTTCCTCATGTCCTGTTGCCAGCAAGACATCAACCAAAGGTAGGAAGGAAAAAAAAATGAAAACTGAGGTTTCTGATGGCAAAGCATTGGGGAATCACCTGCTTAGATAACTGGAAGCTGATTTTCCTCCTGCCCCTCCCAGGCAAGATTGCTTTAGATTGTTACTACCATATTCATGTCTTCTCTCTTCGCTTTAGACAGGTCACCCATTTCTCCTCTCCTTACAGACAGTTGGTGCAAGTTATACCATCTAATCTTTCTTTAATCAGCTTCCACAGATTTTTTTCCATCCCTGCCTTAAGCAGATGACAAAAAAAAGAAAGTTTCTAACAGTTTAAAAGAGTAAAGTTTAAGAAAGACCAAATAACGACTCACCATCATTAAATACAACGAAATTTGAGGCAACACTTAGGGTCCAAATTCATCTTCACTTCTACTTATCCTCACTTCACGGAGATAAATCAAAGAATGATTTTCATCTTCACACAATGTTCACCTAGTATGTATCTTTAAAGGGTCATTATAATTCAACTGTTGCTAAGATCTACAATTTTCCTTCTAATTGACAAAATCAAACGTAGACAGGTTCTTGAAAGTGATGTTTATTTCTAATGAAAATAGTACAGTTTTATACATAGGAAAAGATCCGTATTTATTTATAAATACTTGAAAATGTTTATTTCTAAGTAACCAGTATTAAGACTAGAACATTTCAGTAAAATAGTACAGTTAATATGAATTTATTTGATCCAAACTTTGGATAAAATTTCATTATAAACAAGGTGAAAAAGAAAAGTCCTTTATTATCCGTACTCCATATTAAACATATATTATGGTATGTACACTATTGCTTAAGTATCATCACATAGTCCTGATATATGAAAAACTATACCTGCATTCTCTGATACCAGAATTATTTTTTCTATATATATCTTAATCTTTAAAGAAGTAATTAAATATGAGAAAAAAACACAAGGATGAGGAATCATTTAACCTAGGCTGTAGCTATAACTGTGTGGGCTGAGGGCAGTGTTTTCAACCAGTCTTACTATCCTGAGGAGAGTGATTTAACCTGTCTCTTATTAACTCATAAGAGTAGTGGAAGGTTTTACAAAATGCATGACTCAGGAAATTTCCAGACAATTCTTTACGTCATGGTACCCTCCCACCTTCTGCCAGGATATCCTTTGTGAAATACAATGCAATGGATTTGAGGATTGTGACCTTCACATCATTTTTTCTGCATTTATTACAGAATTGGGAATAGAACGAGCTAGGCTCTTGACTCACAGCAGCTGGACTGTAGATGAGGCAGGCTGGCCCCACCCATTCCTACTGGGAATTGTTAGAAACGTTTTTAGAAAAAAATAACAATCCATTTGGGTGGTTGTTTTTTCAGTTTGTTTGCTTGTTTTTGCTAAAACACCTCAATTTTATAGTTATTCTACATTAGCTCATTCATTATGGAAAAAATATGTCGTCTTTTCTTCCCCTTGCAAAATGATTCAATTCGGGGACAGAAAGATGTCAAAGTTCCCACTGTTGAAAACAGAAATAACATAAAACTACCAAAAAATCATAAAATGGAAGTCAAATTTATAAAACATAATAATAATAATAATAAAAGCATACAAGTGAAAAGTTAGTTCAGGTACCATACTTCAGCCAACCTGCTTTTAGAGTCTACAAAGAATAATTGTGCAGTTTCTATATTTTTGTTAGAGGTAACATTGAGTCAGAGTTGTTCAACCTCATTACAATTAACTGCGACCAAAAAAGAGAGAAAAAAATAAAAAAGAGAAAGTGGGGAGGAGCCAATCCATAGTGACTAGATAATATAGAAGAAAAAACGGAAGATGGGAATGAAATCAGATAAAGCCTGCAAGTGTTTCATTACATAAAGTAAACGGGGCCTGGTGCAATGACTCACGCCTGTAATCCCAGCACTTTGGGAGGCCAAGACAGGTGGATCACCTGAGGTCAGGAGTTCAAGACCAGGCTGGCCACCATGGTGATGGTGAAACCCCCATCTCTACTAAAAATATAAAAATTAGCCAGGCATGGTGGCAGGTGCCTGTAATCCCAGCTACTCAGGAAGCTGAGGCACGAGAATCACTTAAATCTGGGAAGCGGAGGTTGCAGTGAGCTGAGATCACCCCATTGCACTCAAGCCTGGGCAACAGAGCAAGACTCCATCTCAACAAATAATAATCACAATAATAATAAAGTAAATGGGACTTCAGATCATGCAAATGTGAACAAGTACCCTTAAACCATTGCACTGGTGAAAATGGAGCCCTATTTATCAAATAAATTTCCCTTTATTCACAACCCATAAAAAGATAGTATATGTAATTCAATTATAAAGGCTACATCTGTAAAACACCACAGTATCTTACAAAGTTTTTAAATGGTTATTTACCATGCCCTTTTATTGCTACCTGCATTTCACTGTTTTCAAATAAGGTGATAGTCTTATTGAACATTACATTGCTAGGTTAACAAGAAAGTACTAGTACTCAGAAAATTTCATGCCTCAATTGTGCAGTGTAAATGAGAGTTTAGCCTAAGACTTTTAAATGACAACATGCCATTAAAACCTCTTTAAGAAAGGACTTTTGAGGCCCGGCGCGGTGGCTCACGCCTGTAGTCCCAGCACTTTGGGAGGCTGAGGCGGGTGGATCACGAGGTCAAGAGATCGAGACCATCCTGGTCAACATGGTGAAACCCCGTCTCTACTAAAAATACAAGAAATTAGCTGGGCGTGGTGGCGCGTGCCTGTAATCCCAGCTACTCAGGAGGCTGAGGCAGGAGAATTGCCTGAGCCCAGGAGGCGGAGGTTGCGGTGAGCCGAGATCGCGCCGTTGCACTCCAGCCTGGGTAACAAGAGCGAAACTCCGTCTCAAAAAAAAAAAAAAAAGAAAAGAAAAGAAAGAAAGGCCTTTTGGAAAGAAGCTCTTTAGGGGTAGTTTTTTTCATCAAACTGATAGCTCCTTTAGTGCTTTGCTTTGTATGAGTGGACCTTTGCTGGGGAAACTGTTCTTCAAGTTTTCAACAGTGGTTCAGCTATAGCAAAGGTAAGACAAAAGTTTTATTCCGTAACTGAGGCTTCCTGTTCTTTCCCTGATACTTGAGGACTCCCTTTCCTCTTCCATTTCATTGGTATGGAGCAGACACTGATGAAGAGCTAAGTGTTTTGCTCTTGCATGAAAAGATCACGCAAAAGGAAATCAGAGACGGTGCCACGTGTCAGAATTCCCAAATTCCCACTTCGCTGCTTAGCTTGTGGAAAACAACAATCCTCCTTTGGCTCAGTCTGTGCTTCTCCTAAGTGTTCCACATGGCAAGCTGCCCTAGAGGGATTTGTGTCTGTCTAGAATTCTTCCAGCAAGCACACGTTCAAGGACTTGCAGTCTAAGGTTAATTGGTGCTAAAATACATTTTCATCTAACACACAGTTTAGGAAAACAGTTTACAGTCTTAAGCAGAAAACTTTGGAAGTTTTATAATCAAATGAAGCATTTAGTAGTGACAAATATCATTAACACTTATAAGGTCTTAAAGATAATTATCAATTACTTTCCAAATGGGCCCAGTGGAAAGCATCCCAGCAGGGGCTCATACCTATGCTGAACTGTTAGAGAATCCATTATGTGAGTAGGCAATGAAAGCGAATACGAGGATAAGGGAGCCAGCGTGGCACGGGCGCACATGTGTGTGCATAAACACACCACACACACACACACACACACCCTGTCATGCATGCATACTTTGCAAAATACCTGGCCACTTTCAAGGCTTTCACTAGCTTTCCTGTGGCATGCGCCAAGCCCAGGTGGTTAGCTTCCGGTGTCCTCATAACGAGCAGACTTGGCAGTCACCAAGTTGAGAAAAAAACAGTGAACCAAGTATTTTATCTTACGATCAGGTTATGCTGGTTATTTATATCTTGTTAGAAATAAATCGAAATGTTCAGAATTGTTTTTGGCAAACATGAAGACATCTAACATAAAGTATCTGCATTAATAATAACCTATTGCATGTGCAATTTACTATCATAATGATAATGATTTGGCCACCTCCTCTCCCCCTCCAAAGCAGCCCATTCAAAAAAAAAAAAAAAAAAAAAAAAAAAACCACTAAGGAGAAAAAGGAAAACTTCCATTTTTCTGTCAAAATTTACGTAAAGTATGGACTTCCTATCTGTATACTTTTTAAAATATTTTAATTGCAATAAAAGCCTTGCCCTGTTTTGTATAAGCAGGAATTAATTTAGAGACAAAGGAGAAGCCATGAAAATGAGCTAATCTATATTGTGTGAGGTAGATAAGTGCTGTTTTCCAAATTAATATACCAGGAACGAGAGGAGAGACAGAATTTGCCCAAGACATCTTTAGATCTCAGAAGCAATCACGGAACCTCAGTCCAGCAATCAAGAAACAAAATATCTCCTCAGCACCGGGGCCTTGACTCACAGTCCCTCCCTCCCTGCCCATGTGATTAAATTTGTCTTTAGATTTACGGGAATCTTCTAAACTTTATATATATGCATTGTTCCTGAAAACTAAAAAAAAACAAAAAAGATACTAACATAGTTAACATAACAATAATGTGTTCTTGATGAATATGCTCAGGAAATGCAAAACACTGAAAGATACATAAAATACAAACCTAATTCTATCCTGCAGCACAAAAGTTTGCTTTTTCTTTAGAAGTTTGATCCAAAAAAAGGAAGAAAATGTTTTATTTAGATGAATGAGTGACTATGAACTATGCATACATTAAGACTACTTCAAAGGCTTCCCCATTCTACCCAACAATAACAAATATACTCCAAAATATTCCCTTTCTAAGCCTGACTTCTCCATGTAAGAATCTCACCTTATTTTCCTATTGAGAAACTCGAGGCACAGTTCTTAGGAGACACCCTCAATGATTCAGAAGCAGACAGCAACTGTAGCCCTAACTCCCAGGTCCAGCTTTTTCTTATAGAATACTTTCCAGGGTTTATGTAGTCTTCAACTTCTTTAAACACAGCTTTCGGTCGTTATAGAAATAAAAATGGTAACATCTCTTACTACATTTTGAAAACTTATGCTGAAAAAAAAAAAAAAAACAGTGTGCCCTACATTTTTTTTAAATAGAAAACTCTTCCTCCAATAGTGTTCAAAATCCAGGCTAATTATATGACATAAGTAACAAGTAATCTCCGTCTTCTCCAGTCTTCGAATCAGTTTCAGAACAGGAGTTTGGTTAAAGCTCTTCCCTGCCATGACAAAAACAAAGAGCAGTTAAAAACAAAAACAAAAACAAAAAACAGTTAAAAAAAAAAAGGGGGGGGGAATGCAATTATTGTCATATATCACTAAGCTATATTCCTAAAATCATGAATACTTTTTTTTTATTTGAAGGAAAGTTGCTCTGTGCTGTGCTAAAAAATTTTTTAATCCAGTCTACAGAGACCGTGTAATGCTTTAACTAACTGAATCAAATCCAAGAACATTTTTTGGCCTACCTGATAGATGAAAACTCTGAAACGAAGTAAAAACTAAAAACGCTGTGTGGATTGTGTGCCTAACATCTTTTTGAGGTCATATTCCTTCTGTGAACCTCCTAAGGTTACAGAGTCTGTGTGGACTTTCTTTTGTTTCACAGGGTCTTCTAGTTCAAACCTTCTTTGTTTCACAGATCCTTTTTGTATATTTCAATGTTTGACAGTGCACCCGGAGAAACAGAAGTACGAAGTCAATCTGCCTATTCCTTTAAGGATCTCCTGAATCCTTCCTTTCGATGTCTTAGCCCAGAAAAGATGTATTTTTAATTCGGTGAACACATTCAGGCAGATAGCTTTGAGAGGCTTCTAAAGGGTCTTAGGAAAGACAAAAGCATTCATGTCCTTTCTACCGGATACTACTGAAATGGAGCCGTGGGCCATCTGCTGGCTGAAGATGCAGAGATGAATGGATTCTCTGGTTTAAAAGGCCAACACCTGATAATGCTGCTCTGACTGCATTCAGCAATACTGGCAGCACCCCCTGGAAGCCAAGTCAGGTGTTCAGAGATTTTTAGAGGAATCTCCACCGTGCACATGGAACTAGAAAAGCCTCTTTCTCAGTTCCCTTAGGTATCAATTTGTCCCTTCTCTTAGAAACCATGAGCAAAGGAACCACCTGCCAGAGAAAAAGCATTTTGAGCAAAGGGGCAGGAGTTCCACACAGGGTCCTGGGTGTAATTCTGACCCTTCATCAGTTCTTTTATAAGCATGCATGAATTGCTCTGATTTTTCTCTTCTAAAAACCAAGTGAAGATACCTGGTCTGACCCTCCATGAGCAAACACTTCCTTGAAGGCAACAGTGGGACCAAATATCAATACCAAACCGTAATCCTACCCAATACACTCAACTAATTCCCACGACGCTCTCTTTTCAAGGTAGTTTATTTTGTAACCTATGTCTAGTAATGAATCCTGAGAACAACAATAACAAAAAATTACAGACATTTGCCCAAAATGCATTCTGAGAAAAGCAAATGGGAAAATTAAGATAAACTTGATAGAGGCAAGAGATACAGCTTAATGAGATCTGTAATTCAAAGCATACTGAAAAGTATCTACACAGATGGAGATGAAGGAGTATGTTGAGGCCGGGCGTGGTGGCTCACGCCTGTAATCCCAGCACTTTGGGAGGCCGAGGCAGATGGATCACGAGGTCAAGAGATCGAGACCATCCTGGCCAACATGGTGAAACCCCGTCTCTACTAAAAATACAAAAATTAGCTGCGCTTGATGGCATGTGCCTTAGTCCCAGCTACTCGGGAAGCTGAGGCAGGAGAATTGCTTGAACCCGGGAGGCGGAGGTCGCAGTGAGCCAAGATTGTGCCACTACACTCCAGCCTGGCGCCTGGTGACAGAGCGAGACTCTGTCTCAAAAAAAAAAAAAAAAAAAAAAAAAAATTTGTTTTAATAAAATGATTTTTAAAAAGTGAAAATAAAAGAATATGTTGAACTATGTGAGGACTTATGGCTACTCCAGTGTTCTTCATAGGAACTATCTATAAAAAATATTTTATGGCATGGATCACTGGTGAGATCTATAATAACAAGGGAGAAAATATCACATAGTCTAGGCATCTCTAGTCTAAAACAGATAGTATCTTAGTTTTAAATCTTCTCTGCCACTGGCTATCACTGTCATCTTAAGTAAATCACTTCACATCTCCAAGATTTCCTTTCCTCAAATGAGAAACACCCAATTTACAAAGCCGTCATAAGGAATATATGAGATAATCTGTACGGACATGCAGAAACTGCGAAGAACTCAACACATGTTAGTTATCTGTGTTTTACAGGCAGTCTTACTGCTATTTCCTATAACATGGGATTTTGCTGGAAATGTCTGTTTTGAGATATTCCACAAAAGAATGATCACCAAGACTCCTGTCACATGGACAGGAAATTAGGTGCTCACTCAGGTGTGACATGAAGCTAAGGCACACTGTGAAGTCTGTAGGTTGGGGTGGAGGGCTGTTTCGAAAGCTTACACTTGCTGCTCTCTCATGAAAGCTGCAAACTCGGGATCATTGGCATACAGCTCCAAAACTCTCATTCTCTCTTGAATTTCCTTAAAGAAAAAAGAAAAAGTAGGCCACGCATGACATTAGAAAAACCCCAACAGCCTTTTAAAAGGAATTCTAATTTTCATAAACAATTGTGACATTCTGGGCTATTCACAAGTGTGCTGGAAGAAAGAATGTGCCTTCAGAGAAATGGAAGAATCTACATACCCTACTCTGGATATTACATGTCCTGCTCTAAATCAGACATATTTCTAAGGAAGAAAGGGAGGAAGGAGACAGTACCAATTTATAATGAAAAAAAAAAAAAAGCACCATTGGGTGGGAAATAAGGTACCGCTCAGAATTGAATTCTCTGTGCATATCTTACTGACTGGGAAATACAAGGTAAAAAGCAATTACTAAATGTTTTTTATACTTTCTTTAAGCCATGTGCATGCACACATACACCCATACACACCCACCCCACCCCACCCCACCACACACCCACACACACACACACATCAGCAGTAGCTGCAACAGCAGCAATGCAGCAACAGAAATGCAAACTTTCCTACCTCTCTGGAAAGCTCACTGCACTCATACATCTGTCTGATTTCTTCTCTGCTCAGACCACCAATCATTTCTCCACTAGCAGAGCTGTAGAAAGGATGCTGAGGATAGGGCCTCTCATACTTCTCACATCCAGCCCCGTGACTTTCATACACCGGGTTGTACTTCACAGCATTCTCAATGGATGAGAGGCTGTCGGGCTGCCTGCTGGAGCCACTAAAAGAAAGATATGACTGATTCAGGCTCTTGTCTGGATGCTCAACTATTCGGAAAAGTATTTACCTGGGACTAGATTTCTGTTGGGAAAGAAAACTAGGTGAACGTCACACAAATGGCAGGAGGTAACTCTGAAAAATTTCCAGATCGATTTCAAAAATTGTCAGGTGTTATGATTTCCTCACATCCATGGCAAGCGCCCCGTGGACTTGCCCCTTGTCGCATTCATCTTATTTGTCATAGTGCCTGGCATTCATAAATGTTGGGAACCATGTCTGCCAGTAGATAGTATTTCATAAACTATAGCTTCATCATTCCCAAAGTTATACACATAGAAAATCAGTGTGTAGTCACACAGAAAATCTGACTGAAATAAAAATGTTAGAGTCTAGGGGAAGCAGGGCCTCAATTACATTCAACTCAGGTCTACACATATTTCCTAAGCCTTGATTATGTGCATAGGACTGTTGTACATGCTGGTGATACAAATAATCTGTTATCTCTGCCCTGAATGATATTACAGTCTAATGAAAAGTCACATACAATAAAAAGTATAATAGCAATGATGGAGGTACGTCCCAGGAGCTCCAGGACCTAGCTAAGTCACATGGTGAGGGAAGGTAAACCAGCCTTCAAGCTGTAGCTCTTGTAGGCTTTAGAAGTATAAAGTGTGATAATGCTCCTTGAATCTGTAGTTTAGCAAATGGACTAGCTTTTATTTCCCCATCAACAAAGCCACACTCAACTCAACAGAGAATGAGATTTCATTTCTTGACAGACCCTTACCTAGATTTAAAATCTGGCTAATTACCACTCATCAGAGCCAAAGAAGAGAAAGCTGTAACAGATCTGGTCTTCCCTGAAGGAAAATTCACCTCTTCTGTCTCATCTCCATCATTACTTCTCCAAACTCTCCCTGACCTTGAAATAGGCATTCTGTCCACACTCAACCATGCCTTTCCTTCCAAGCACCTCGAAATTCATACATGCCTCCCTGACTTCCTGCTCATTCAACCAGCTGGAAAGCATCCCAGCCCAAAAGTAACAAATACCTACTCTGTCTCCAGCAAACTACCACAGCCATCATTAAAACTTTTTGAGACTTTTTCCCCAGACAAAACTAACTTATACCTCATCTAGGCTCCTTCGCATCTTACTCTTAGTGCTACTTCCATTTTTCTTCAATGTGACACCCCTTTGAGGACAAGGCCCATGTGTTTACTTAAATTCATAGCTCTCTTTCACCCTCCCAACTCATCTAATATTTGGCACCTGGTAAGTATTAAATAAATACGTAAATGCAACAACATACTCCATTAGAGAGCTCTTTTCCTTATTTACCTGAAGGGCCTCTCCCTTTCACTCCTGTCGTGGTGTGCTTGAAGAATCCTGATGAAGAAGTAGGTGACAGCAGAAAAGATGACAAGCAGTCCAACCACGGAGGCGATAGTGATGCCTATGACCACAGGCTCAGACACAAACTCCTCACAGTGCTCGCCTCGGTACCACCAGTTCTCACCCACCCGGCACCTGTAACCAACAGTCACCAAATCCAATATCTGAATCACTCTGATCACGCCGACAATTAACAGCGGAACCTTCTGAGAAACTGGGGAAAGCAGAGAAATAAACGCTGACCACGTGAAGCTTCATAAAGAGTTGAACAGACAGGTTAAAAGATCGAACAGTTTAAGGCAGTGTGTAAAGCCCAGCACAGACCTAGTATGTCCACAATGACTGTTTGAGAATAGCTGAATAAAATGCTAAATCGATTTAAGGAAATTATTCTACTTAGCCGCCTTGTCTATCGATAACCAAAAAGCAGGCCTAGGAAGGAAAGTGGCCTGGAATTAGTCTGCTACAGAACCAGGTCTAGAAACCAGGCCTCCGGACACCCATGTTCCTCTAAGGCCACTGGGAAAGGAAATCACTGCTTTTCTAAATAATATTCATTTCTCTGGACATGAAGAGACTATTTTTCTCCTTATGAACTTTATATTTCTTCATATAGAAGAGTCTGGATTATGTCTACTTATTTTCTGTTTCTGCATCTAGGCCAGCATTTGCCCATTTTGACCTTGCAAACTGTCCTCTAGCTTGTGTTTCTCCTTATTCTCAGCATTCTCTCCTCTTCAACCACGCAGCTTTGGTTGTGTGTGTGGCTGGAAAGTTGATTCGTTTGACTTTGTTTAAGGGGTGTGGGCAGAAGACAGTCAGGCTAACTAAATCTGCTCATCTTCTCACTGGTTCTACCTTTAGAAAATGGATCCCTGATGTACTTAAAAACATTTTTGTCACCACTTCGAAAACTTGAAATACTTGCTTTTTTTATCTTGGAAATACTAAGTAGGAATAAGAGGGGCCCAAAACCTTTAAAAATATAATTCAAGTATAACAATAAAACTCATTTGCACTTTCAGATATAGAGGAAAGCGTTCATCTTATGCCTAAACCTCATTTGAACACCAGTTTCCTTATTATCACCATCAAAAACTATAATACAAAGACCTCCATCTGCTCCAAGTACTCTCAGCAGGACTGTTTTTGGTTTTTTTTTTTTTTTTTGTTTTTTTTGAGGTAGAGTTTCACTCATGTCACCCAGGCTGGATTGCTGTGGGAGATCCCGACTCATTGTAACCTCCACCTTCCAGGTTCAATTGATTCTCCTGCCTCAGCCTCCCAAGTAGCTGGGATTACAGGTGCCCACCACCACACCAGCTAATTTTTGTATTTTTAGTAGAGATGGAGTTTTACCATGTGGGCCAGACTGGTCTCAGACTCCTGACCTCAGATGATCCACACACCTCGGTCTCGCAGAGTGCTGGGATTACAGGCATGAGCCACCGAGCCTGGCCAGTAGGATGTATTTAGACAATTTTTTTTTTTTTTAGCAGTTCCTTAACAGCATAAAACATCCAATTGCAATTCAGACCTGTTAAATGACTCATCCTCATATGACAGTTAAATGGCTCCCCTCTGTTGCCTAGATATAACTTTTGTAATGCATACTATAATAAGTATCCTAAAATTATAGGTGCAGTCCCCTTTTATTTAGAGAAAATATCTATCACCTTTAAAGACAAAATTTGTAACTACAACGTACCTACAAATGGCCCCGTGTCCAGGCATAATGTCACACTTTCCATCATTCAAGCAGAAGTCAGGCTGTAGGTCACAGAGACTCTGACAGGGCCGTTCTTCCACACTCAGGTACCCAGGGAAGCATCTGCACTTCGCTTCCCCACTCCAGGGGTTGACTAGACACTCAGAAAATTCATTACAGGCCTGAAACTTGCAAGGGTTGGCTTCATCACCTAAAACATTAAACAAAAAACAATGCAAGAAAAGACAAAACACAGAAATTGGTGTATACAACGACCCTCATTAAAGTTCTCCCCCAAAGTAGATGGGACAATTGCCTTCCAGAACCATTAAAGTACACCATTGCCACCAATACCACACACAAAAAAATTCGCATTCATCCTAAGATTAATAAGTTTTTGTCAAATTTTTCTGTAGGAGGATCTAAGATGGCCAAATAGGAACAGGTACAGAATGCAGTTCCCAGAAAGAACAATGCAGAGGAACACAGCACCTGGGAAAACAGGCGGTTATGAGTTCCGCCACAGGAGACTTAAACGTAACTGCTCAGCAGCTCTGAATGAACAATGGAGCTCCCAGCTCAGCACTTGAGCTCCTATAAGGGACAGACAGTTTCCTCAAGCAGCTCCCCGACCGCATATTACCCAAAGAGACACCTCATAAAGGACAGCTCTGGCAGACATCTGGTGGGTATCCTTCTGGGACGAAGATAACAGAAGAAGAAACCAGCAGTAACCCTTACTGTTCTGCAGCTGCCACAGGTGATCCCCAGGCAAGCAGGGCATGGAGTGGACCTCCAGCAGTCCTACAGCCGAGGGGCCAGAAAACTAAGAAACAGAAAGAAATAACTTCATCATGAACAAAAAGAATATCCACTCAGAGGTCCCATCTGAAAGTCCCCAACCTACAAAGACCACACGTAGATAAAGCCACAAAGATGGGAAGAAACCAGCACAGAAAAGATGAAAATACCAAAAACCAGAACGCCTCTCCTCCTCCAAGGGATCACAACTCCTCACCAGCTAGTGAACAAAGCTGGATGGAGAATGAATCCGATGAATTGGCAGAAACAGGCTTCAGAAGGTGGGTAATAATAAACTTCTCTGAGCTAAAAGAACATGTTTTGTTTGCATTGCTAACCCAATGCAAAGAAACTAAGAACCTTGAAAAAAGGTTACACGAAATTCTAATGAGAATAAACAGACTAGAAAAGAATATAAATGACATAATGAAGCTGAAAAACACAACAAGAGAACTTCATGAAACATACACAAATTTCAATAGCCAAATAAACCAAACAGAAGAAAGGACATCAGAGACTGAAGATCAACTGAATGAAATAAAATGAGAGGGCAAGATTAGAGAAAATAGAGTGAAAAGAAATGAACAAAGCCTCCAAGAAATATGGGATTATGTGAAAAGACCTAATCTATGTTTAATAGGTGTACTTGAATGTGATGGAGAGAATGAATCCAAGTTGGAAAACACTCTTCAGGATATTATCCAGGAGAACTTCTCAACCTAGCAAGGCAGGCCAACATTCAAGTTCAGGAAATACAGAGAACACCACAAAGATAATCCTCAAGAAGAGCAACTCTAAGGCACATAATCGTCAGATTCACCAGGGTTGAAATGAAGGAAAAAATACTAAGGGCAGCCAGAAAGAAAGCTTGGGTTACCCACAAAGGGAAGCCCATCGGACTCACAGTGGATCTCTTGGCAGAAACCCTACAAGCCAGAAGAGAGTGGGGGCCAATATTCAACATCCTTTAAGAAAAGAACTTTCAACCTAAAATTTCATATCCAGCCAAACTAAGTTTCATATGCAAAGGAGAAAGAAAATCCTTTATGGAGAAGCAATTGCTGAGAGATTTCATCACCACGAAGCCTACCTTACAAGAGCTCCTAAAAGAAGCACTAAACAAGGAAAGGAACAATCAGTACCAGCCACTCCAAAAATGTACCAAATGGTAAACAGCATCAACACAATGAAGAAAAAGTGTCAACTAACGGGAAAATCATCCAGCTAGCATCAAAATGGCAGGATCAAATTCCCATATAACAATATTAACTCTAGATGTAAATGGGTTAAATGCCCCAATCAAAAGACACAGACTGGCAAATTGGATAAAAAGTCAAGACCCATCAGTAGGCTGTATTCAGGAAACCCATCTTACATGCAAGGACACACATAGGCTCAAAATAAAGGGATGGAAGAAGATTTATCAAACAAATGGAGAGCAAAAAAAAAAAAAAAAAAAGCAGGAGTTGCAATCCTAGTCTCTGATAAAATGGACTTTAAACCAACAAACATCAAAAGAGACAAAGAAGGGCATTACATAATGGTAAAAGGATCAATGCAACAAAAAGAGCTAATGATCCTAAATATATACGCATCCAATACAGGAGCACCCAAATACATAAAGCAAGTTCTTAACGACCTACAAAGAGACTTAGACTCCTACATAATAATAGTGGAGATTTTAACACTCCACTGTCAATATTAGACAGATCAATGAGACAGAAAATTAACAAGGATATCTAGGACTTAAACTCAGATCTGGAGCAAGCAGATCTAATAGACATCTATAGAACTCTCCGCCCCAAATCTACAGAATATACATTCTTCTTAGCACCACATTGCACCTACTCCAAAATTGGCCACATAATTGGGAGAAAATCACTCCTCAGCAAATGCAAAAGAACGGAAATCATAAAACCGTCTTTCAGACCACAGTGCAATCAAGTTAGAACTCAGAATTAAGAAACTAACTCAGAACCGCACAGCTTCATGGAAACTGAACAACTGGCTCCTGAATGTTGACTGGATAAACAATAAAATGAAGGCAGAAACAAAGATGTTATTTGAAACCAACCAAAACAAAGACACAATGTACCAGAATCTCTGGGACTCATTTAAAGCAGTGTCTAGAGGGAAATTTAAAGCAATAAATGCCCACATGAGAAGCGAGAAAAGCTCTAAAATCGACACCCTATTGTCAAAATTGAAAGAGCTAGAGGAGCAAGATCAAAAAAACTCAAAAGCTAGCAGAAGACAAGAAATAAGATTAGAGCAGAACTGAAGGAGATACAGATACAAAAAAAAAAAAAAAAAAAAAACACAAAAAATCAATAAATCCAGGAGCTGGATTTTTTAAAAGATCAACAAAATAGACTGACTGCTAGCCAGATTAATAAAAAAGAAAAGAGAGAAGAATCAAATAGATGCAATAAAAAACAATAAAGGGGACATCACCACCAATTCCACAGAAATACAAACTACAGTCAGAGATTACTACAAACAACTCTATGTGCATAAACCAGTAAACCTGGAAGAAATGGATAAATTCCTAGACACTTATACTCTCCCAAGCCTAAAAAAGGAAGAAGTCAAAACTCTGAATAGACCAATAACAAGGGCTAAAGTTGAGGCAGCAATTAATAGCCTACCAATCAAAAAAAGCCCAGGTCCAGATGAGTTCACAGCCGAATTCTACCAGACATACAAAGAGGAGCTGGTATCACTCCTTCTAAAACTATTCCAAACAATCCAAAAAGAGGGAATCCTTCCCAAATCATTTTATGAGACCAACATCATCCTGATACTAAAACTTGGCAGAGACTCAACAAGAAAAGAAAACTTCAGGCCAATATCCATGATGAACATAGATGCAAAAATCTTCAATAAAATACTGGCAAGCCGATTACAACAGCACATCAAAAAGCTTATCCACCATGATCAAGTAGGCTTCATCCTGGGGATGCAATGCTGGTTGAACATACACAAGTCTGTAAATGTAATCCATCACATAAACAGAACCAAAGCCAAAAATCACATGATTATCTCAATAGATGTAGAGAAGGGCTTTTGACAAAATTCAACAGCCCTTAACACTAAAAACTCTCAATAAACTAGGTATTGATGGAAAGTATCTCAAAATAATAAAAGCTATTTACAACAAACCTACAGCCAATATCATACTGAATGGGCAAAAACTGGAAGCATTCCCTTTGAAATCTGGCACTAGGCAAGGATGCCCTCTCTCACCACTCCTATTCAATATAGTACTGGAAGTTCTAGTCACAACAATTGGGCAATAAAAAAAAAAAAACTAAAGGGTATTCAATTAGGAAAGGAGGAAGTCAAATTGTCTCTATTTGCAGATGACATGATTGTATATTTAGAAGACTCCATCATCTCAGCCCAAAATCTCCTTAAACTGATAAGCAACTTCAGCAAAGTCTCAGGACACAAAATCAGTGTGCAGAAATCACAAGCATTCCTATACACCAATAACAGAAAAACAGAGAGCCAAATCATGACCAAACTCCCACTCACAATTGCTACAAAGAGAATAAAATACCTAGGAATACAACGAACAAGGGATGTAAAGGACCTCTTCAAGGAGAACTACAAGCCACTGCTCAAGGAAATAAGAGAGGACACAAACAGATGGAAAAACTTTCCATGCTCATGGTTAGGAAGAATTAAGATTGTGAAAATGGCCATACTGCCCAAAGTAATTTATAGATTCAGCACTATCCCCATCAAGCTACCAATGACCCTCTTCACAGAACTGGAAAAAACCACCTTAAACTTCATTTGGAACCAAAAGAGAGCCTGCACAGCCAAGTCAATTCTAAGCAAAAAGAACAAAGCTAGAGGCATCACACTACCTTACTTCAAACTATACTACAAGGCTACGGTAATCAAAACAGCATGGTGCTGGTGCCAAAACAGAGATATAGACCAATGGAGCAGAACAGAGGCCTCGGAGGCAACACAACATATCTACAACCATCTGATCTTTGACAGACCTGACAAAAATAAGCAATGCGAAAAGAATTCACTATTTAATAAATGGTATTGGTAAAACTGGCTAGCCATGTGCAGAAAGCAGAAACTGGACCCCTTCCTGACACCTTACACTAACATTAACTCCAGATGGATTAAGGACTTAAACATCAGACCTAAAACCATAAAAACCCTGGAAGAAAACCTAGGCAAAACCCTTCAGGACATAGGCATTGGCAAGGACTTCATGACTAAAACACCAAAAGCATTGGCAACAAAAGCCAAAATAGACAAATGGGACCTAATCAAACTCCAGAGCTTCTGTACAGCAAAAGAAACAGTCATTAGAGTGAATCAGCAACCAACAGAATGGGAAAAAAATGTTTGCAATCTACCCATCTAACAAAGGGATGATATCCAGAATCTACTAAGAACTAAAACAGATTTACAAGAAAAAAAGTAGGCAAAGGATATGAACAGACACTTTTCAATAGAAGACATCTATGAGGCCAACAAACATATGAAAAAATGCTCATCATCACTCGTTATTAGAAAAACGCAAATCAAAACCACATTGAGATATCATCTCATGCCAGTTAGAATGGCGATCATTAAAAAATCTGGAGACAACAGATGCTAGAGAGGATGTGGAGAAACAGGAACACTTTTACACTGTTGGAGTGTAAATTAGTTCAACCATTGTGGAAGACAGTGTGGTGATTCCTAAAGGACCTAGAAAGAGAAATGCCATTTGACTCAGCAATCCCATTACTGGGTATATACCCAAAGGATTATAAATCATTCTATTATAAAGACACATACACATGTATGTTCACTGCAGCACTGTTTACAATAGCAAAGACCTGGAACCAACCCAAATGTCCATCAATGATAGACTGGACAGGGAAAATGTGGCCCATATATACCATGGAATACTACACAGCCATAAAAAAGGATGAGTTTGTGTCCTTTATAGGGACATGGATGAAGCTGGAAACCATCATTCCCAGCAAACTGACACAAGAACAGAAAATCAAACACCACGTGTTCTCACTCATAGGCGGGTATTGAACAATGAGAACACATGGACACAGGGAGGGGAGCATCACACACTGGGGCCTGTTGGGGGTGGGCAGGGGAGGCACAGCCGGGGGATGGGGAGGTTGCCGAGGGATAACATGGGAAGAAATGCCAGATACAGGTGACGGGGGGACGGAGGCTGCAAACCACATTGCCATGTGTGTACCTTTGCAACAATCCTGAATGATCTGCACATGTACCCCAGAACCAAAAGTACAATAAAAAAAATTAAACTAAAAAAAAAAATTTCTGCAACCCAGAGCCAAATCATAAAAGCCTATGGCCTATCTAATCCTTAACATGTTTTATCTAGGGAGCATGCAGAAGCTATACAAATCTGCCATGTGATTGTAGATCTAATTTAAACACAACAGTAGTTGTAAATCTAAATTAAACAGTTTTCACAGACCATTCATTTCCACCAACCATAGCCTGCTGCAGTTGACCTCCACCCTACGTACGGCACTACATGCCTCGCACAACACTGAGAACATGACTGGGGAGAGAGAGAGCCCAGAAAACAACCGGTAGTGGGCCAGGCGTGGTGGCTCAACGCCTGTAATCCCGGCACTTTGGGAGGCCGAGGCGGGTGGATCACGAGGTCAAGAGATCGAGACCATCCTGGTCAACATGGTGAAACCCCGTCTCTACTAAAAATACAAAAAAAAAAAAACTAGCTGGGCGTGGTGGCGCGTGCCTGTAATCCCAGCTACTCAGGAGGCTGAGGCAGGAGAATTGCCTGAACCCAGGAGGCGGAGGTTGCGGTGAGCCGAGAACGCGACATCGCACTCCAGCCTGGGTAACCAGCGAAACTCAGTCTAAAAAAAAAAAAAAAGAGAGAGAGAGACCCTGTAGTAGCCTCAGGGATGGGCATCACCCAGTAAGAGCAGCCTAGCAACAGTCATGATTTTTGAAAGCCAATGTTAGGAAAATAAGCTAGCCCTGCACCTCCTGAGGCCGTTTCCAAGAAAATATTTTTGCCTTCGTGACTTAATTTTTCATCGATAGGGCAAGGGAAAATGACTATTTTTAAAAACTAACTCAGGCAGTAATCAGTGAAAAAAAGACCTAAGACATAGGATGGCCCCTCCATCCTGCTACAGCACCCACGGGTTCTTTACTGGTCAATGGCAATCCGTGAATGGCAACCGGGCAAATGGTGACACAGACATTGAAAACAGTAGAAATAGGTGGAAATGACCCATCAACTCATCTGTGTCAAAACGTATAACGTTTAGCTAGAAGGCTACAGGAAATAAAAAGAAATAGCATAGTCTCTTGGTTTCCAAACATTGGAAGGATCTACATACATAATGTTTTGAAAAGCAACGATCTTCTTGCTGCTCTGGAAATTGAAGGCAATTTTGCACAAGTCTGTGCCCTTTTATAAGGGGAACATCACACACTGGGGCCTGTCAGGGGTTGGGGGATTGTGGAGGGACAGCATTAGGAGAAACACCTAACGTAGATGGCGGGTTGATGGGAGCGGCAAACCACCACGGCACGTGTATACCTATTAACAGATCTGCACGTTCTGCACATGTATCCCAGGACTTAAGGTATAATTTTAAAAAACTGAAGTAAGTGTATTTATTGTAATTCTCTATACTTTTATGTTTTATTGTTTTTAGAGACAGGTTCGTACTGTGTCGTCCGGGCTAGAGTGTAGTTGTGTGATCACAGTTCATTGCAGCCTCAACCACCTACGCTCCAGCAATCTTCCCATCTCAGCCTCCCAAGTAGCTGGAACTACAGGTACTTGCCTCCGTGCCCAGCTAATTTTTAAGGTTTTTTTTTTTTTTGTAGAGATGGAGACTGTGTTGCTCAGGCTGGTCTCAAACTCCTGGCCTCAAGCAATCCTTCTGCCTCGCCTCCTAAAGTGTTGGAATTACAAGTGTGAGCCACAGCACCTGGCCTGAAATTCTGTTTAAAAAGAAGTTGATTGACTTTTGCAAGTTTTATAAATCATAACTGGTGGCAGTTGTATAGCCAGTCAAATGTTTTATAGATATTACTTGTTTAATGCTTACAATAGTCTCATAAAATACAGAGCTAGGCAATATTACTCCTATTTAACATATGCAAATTAAAGTGTCAGGGATAAAAATAGCCTATCTAGGGTCACACAAATAATAAATGGTAAAGCAAAAGCAATAAATCACGCCTACAAATTATAATTAATTGCCTATTCTATTACACCACATGACAAAGAATGTGCAAAAAGTCTTAGAAAACTAAGTGGAAAGAGATTTGGATATGAAGGATTCGTGAAATCATTTCCTCACTTTCAATGACTACCAGTTTTCAAAGATTTCAAAAGAAAGTTCGCTTCTTTCCGAAAGAATACGGCGGGCTTTCAAACCAGTTTGAGATTAAAAGGCACTGGAGAAATACGAAGCCAGACAATTTCTTCCTACTCCTCAAAACCACTGTCCTCTGGTAGGTAGAAGGGAAGAACAGAGTGTCACGCTTCAACAGTATTCTCTGCATCCAAGGCTTCCAAACAAAAGCAATGGTTTATTTCATTCACTCACAGTATTTTTTAGGATCTTCTGTGTTCAAGACACGGTGCTAAATTCTGGCTAGAAAGTACTTAATAAAACAGACACATTCTCAGTCTTTGAGAAATGCTCATCTGGAAAAAATAGCCATTAAGCAACGATGCACATAAATTAACATTATTACAACGATGATAACTCTCTAGGGGAAAAGAACAGTGTCCTATCAACATAAAAACTACAGGAAAGCCCCAATCTAGACTATAAGTGAGTCAATGAAAGTCCTAAGGAAGTGACATTTGAACATTTGACATTGACATTTGAACCATGGGAGAAAAAAAGTCAGTAAGACGGTGAAAGAGGATGGTGTGTACACAAGCTTTAAGGCAAGAAAAAGGTTTTGCATCTGAGTAACCAAAAACAAGCTGGTTTGACTAGAACACGTTAAACAGGGGTTAGTAGCATTGGATATCGGGGAAGAAGACAGGGACCAGGCCTTGTGGCTACTGAACCAGAGAGCAACTCAGAGTACCACGGCTGCTGTCTGGAGGATGGATAGGAGAAGGAGCATGAGAGGATGTGGGGTAACTGGTCCAAAGGAGAGATCGTGGTGATTTGGAGGGAGTCACAGCCAAGTAGACAGGGAAAAAGGGCATGGATTTGAGATATATTGAGAATTCATAATCAATATAAGTTTGGTGAGTGACTAAGACTTCAAGGTGACAGGAACTGAAATATCAAGAATGACTTCTCTAGCTAGGTGTGGTGGCTCACACCTGCAGTCCCAGCACTTTGGGAAGCCGAGGCGGGTGCATTATCTGAGGTCAGGAGTTCAAGACCAGCCTGGCCAACATGGAGAAACCCTGTCTCTGCTAAAAATACAAAAAATTATCTAGACATGGTCATAGGCACCTGTAATCCTAGCTACTCGGGAGGCTGAGGCAGGAGAATCACTGGAACCTGGGAGGTGGAGGTTGCAGGGAGCCAAGGTCACACCATTGCACTCCAGCCTGGGCAGCAAGAGCGAAATTCCGTCTCAAAACAAAACAAAACAAACAAAAAAAAAATGACTTCTCATGTTTCTGGCTTAAGTGGCTGAGTAGATAAAGCTTACATTTATAGAAAGAGATAGAGAAACTGAAAGAGTAGATTTTGCTGGAGGGTAGCAAGATATGGAAAACGAGCTCACTCGTAGCTGTCTTAAATTTGATATACACAGAATACATCCAAGTGGAGATTGTTGAGTAAGTAGATAGATATTGATTCTGGAGGTTATGAGACATTTGATCTGCATATAAAAAACGTGGAGAGTTGCTGACATTTATACAAGGCTTAAGACAATGGAAATGGATACATTTCCATTGGGAGGAGGGCCCAAACCGTTTGCAGGTGATAACATGAAGGCATAGCAAAAAGAGATCCAGTGGGTAAATAAAAACAAAAGCTGGGCACAGTGGGCAAAAAAGGGAACGGAGGTGAAATAGTAAAGTAACATGTTTGGACTGACGTTTTGAAAAGGGAATGATATTGATGTTCTTGGAAGAAATATGTTTCTAGTTATGAAGACGTGGAAGATTTGTCTGACATAATACTCTTTTTTCCTACAAGTACGGAAGTCACCTTAATGCAACGAGAAAGAAAACAAGAATAATCACTGGATGCTACTAAGAAACCACCAGGTTAGGCAATGTCATACCTGATTCCACATCAAGAGAGTATTTATCAATAGCCAAGTTCATGGTATGGTAGGCAGTGGTACAGAAGTCTTCCAGAATCATGTACACCGCATTGTTGATGTTGGGAGGGACAGAACTGGCAAACTTCATTCGGCTGTTCACCACAATGCTGCCATTTCTGAAGTTGAGGATTTCTAAGTTCTGGAACCCCGTGAGATTTGACTGCAGATAGGGAACCAGCTACAATAGATGAAAAGTGATGAGTTTATTACAGGGTTTCACATTTTGTTCAATACATACCCAAACAAAACAAAACAAAAAAACAAGATAAGCCCCTGCCTCGCTTTTCCTAATTGTATTTTATCTGTATATAAACTGTTAATTGGGCCGGGCGAGGTGGCTCACGCCTGTAATCCCAGCACTTTGGGAGGCCGAGGCGGGTGGATCACGAGGTCAAGAGATTGAGACCATCCTGGTCAACATGGTGAAACCCCGTCTCTACCAAAAATACAAAAAATTAGCTGTGCATGGTGGCGCATGCCTGTAATCCCAGCTACTCAGGAGGCTGAGGCAGGAGAATTGCCTTAACCAAGGAGGCGGAGGTTGCGGTGAGCCGAGATCGCGCCATTGCACTCCAGCCTGGGTAACAAGAGCGAAACTCCGTCTCAAAAAAAAAAAAAAAACTGTTAATTAACAAAAGTGCAAATTAGCAATGCTTAGACAGTATAAACTAGAAATGCTATGAGATTTTCATGGTGGTATTTAGGGACCCCTTGGAATTCATACATAGTTTTAGACACCCAGAAAGTTTGTTTTCTGTTTCACTAAAGGATCACAACAGTGAAGGGATCGTACGTACCCACCAAACATTAGCTTCACAATAAAATGTGAAAAGAAATGTCAAACTTCTTGTAGTCCCATAATTCATGGAATACAATGTTCCTTGTAAATTATTACATCACCATCATGCCACTTTTGTGTTTTCCATTTCTGGTATGTTCCTGTCTTACAGTTTTCCTACCAACCCTAGGCCATGATATTATTTGTAAATGACAGGAAATGAATGTCCACAGCCAATCCCACTTTCCCTGCTCAGATCTTTTGTGCTAGAGGGGAGAAGTGAGCCATACATAATTATTCACTAGTGCCCATGTTTCACTTTTTCTGCTTACCAACTCTAAGAATCTTTGCTCCAGAGCTTTATATTCCAAAGAGTTTTTGTTAAACAGATCTTCTGAAAACATCATGTTAGTCACTCGGAGGCTGAAGAAAACCACCAAAGCTCCTGAAGTCTGGGTATAACTCAAGTCGTCTCCTCCTGTGGGCCACGCCACACTAACCATCTCTGTGGAGTGAACACTTGTAGACATTTCCACATAACTACCAACCTTGCCATTTTGCTCTGGGACTAGCTCAGGCTGATAGTAATCTGTGCCTATCCGGTCCAGTTCTAATGAAATATCCTGTACACCCATAATTACTTCATCCTCTAGCAGGGTGGAGATTGTGGTTGGAGGCAATTTGGTAGACTGTGTCACGGAAGCTTTCAACCAGAGTGTGTCAGTACTCTGTGGTGTACTTGCCAAAGTGTCTTTGGACAGCTTCTCCAGGGAAGAAGCTCTTGTCCAAACTCCATCTGATTCTGGCAATACAGTCCACAAAGTTTGCATATCTGGCTTTACCACTGAAACCTCGCTGTCAAACCATTCATAGTTGGATGACTCGGTAGTTTGTTCCACATCCTCCCTTAGGATGGCATCCGCCTGGTCTGATTCATCAGTAGAGGTTGCTACAGGTGTCCGGAGAAGAGGTGCTTTGGTAACTGTGGCTCTATCATCATGTTCATATTTTGAGCGCTCACTAATTTGGTCTGTGGAATCCATTTTGTCAGCTAAAACTAGTTTCTCGTCTTCAATCTCAGCTGGCAAAAGTGAATCATCATCTTCAAGCCATGGCTTCAACCGTGGTTCAGTGCTTTCTGATGAAGTGTCACTCCATGGCCAAGTAACCAGATCCCTCTTTTGCCCAGACCCTGAACCTAAACCACTCTCAAATATTGATTCTTTTTCCATGGATGCATCTGGCAGGAAAGGGCTCACTTCTAATTGGTCTTTGACTTTGGAGGTCAAGGAGTCCAAGCCAAGAGGTACAGAAGAGGTCAGATACGGTGACGGTGTTAAGGACACATCAGAGTCTTCCATGGGTGGTCTTGTTTCTTTTGGCACAGGTTGGATGAATGAACTTGAAGGCAGTGAATCAACAGAAAGAAAATCTTCTGACTCTTCAGCAGTGGCTAATCCTGAAAATAAAGTGTTCCATTAATTAATCTACAGAGTTGCCAAAATGTATTCCTAGTTCTCCCAATAAAACTCGTTGCCTGTTTTTTCCCCAGTGAAGTTGACAGGGACAATTGTTGGCTTTTGCTTTTCTATATCTGGCAAACGAGAAGACCTGATCATGTGTTTGTAATACGGACAATCACTCATGAATATTATCTCTTTCTTGAGGATAACAAGACCTTAACTATTGAAATAATCTTCAAACGCTTGTGGTTTTTTTTTTTTTATTTCATGAAAATAAAGAACTGCTGGGAGCAATTTTGACAACAAATACTAAATCCAGCAGTAATTTAGGAGGAAAATTCCCTGAACATTGTGTTTCTCTTTGAATTCTCATTTTCCCTGTTGTGTTTTTGTCCGTTGTCCTTCATATTCACCCAGTGCTCACAATCCTGAACTCATTATTTATATATTTGTTTGCCTTGCTCATTTCACGTGTGTACCCCACCCCTAAGTCACATTTCTTTTTCCTTTCCTCCACGGCATCCAGATCATCGATTTCATTTTCACTTCTTTATCTCAGCTGCGGCTGCCACGGGCTAGCTTCTCCCCTTCCCTATACTACCACCACAAGCAAAAATCTTGAGACTTGGCCCCCACAAGTACTATAACCTAGCTGAATAATCTCATTCGATGCTATTTATTACTCCAATATTTAAGTAAAGTGGTTCTTTAAAAGTAGCAGCAGTCGTTTAACTAGACTATATACCTTTCAATATGACCTTCAAAATATCTATTAATTGATCCCCGCCCCGGCTTCCCAAGTGTATTTCTTTCTTTTTTTTTTTTTTTTTTTAGTCGGAGTTTCGCTCTTGTTACCCAGGCTGGAGTGCAATGGCGCGATCTTGGCTCACCGCAACCTCCGCCTCCTGGGTTCAGGCAATTCTCCTGCCTCAGCCTCCTGAGTAGCTGGGATTACAGGCACGCGCCACCATGCCCAGCTAATTTTTTGTATTTTTAGTAGAGACGGGGTTTCACCATGTTGACCAGGATGGTCTCGATCTCTCGACCTCGTGATCCACCCACCTCGGTCTCCCAAAGTGCTGGGATTACAGGCGTGAGCCACCGCGCCCAGCCCTATTTCTTATTATTTATCTATTTGGACTCTCTATTCCAACAAAGTAAACTGGACGGTTTCCTCTCGCATGCAATTTTCCCAAGACATTTTCCCCCTTATGAATTACCGGTATCATTTCCTTTCACAGTCATAGTGCCTTCCTCTCTTCAAAACCCTTGTCATCGGATATAATAAAAAGTATGAAAAGGGATGAAAGTTTCTCACCATCGTCTACCAAGTGAGATCCAGAAGTCCTTTCCTCAGAAGCCACAGGCAAGCCAGTCTGAAGCACTGCCGGGGTGACAGAATGAAGAGTCAAGCTGCTAGCCTCTAAAACCTCTGGGGAAGAGCTGAGGCCCATCTTCGAGGGAAAGGCTAATTTGTGTGTAGACACTAAATCACCCAAAGGACTTTCTGACCAGAGTTCCCTGCCAGTGGCTGAGGGAGGACCAGAGCTGAAATCAAGTGGTGGGTTACTGCTGGTGATGGAGCCATCTGCTGAGGGCCATGCAGCTTGAAAGGTATTATCCTGGGGGGAAAAAAAGGCTAAATCATATCATAGATAAAAGAAACATATAAAAAGTGATTTTAAATACCACCTGTCTGTCTACATTCCCAGGTGTTTTAGGGACAAGGAGGTGGTGTATTAATAATATTGGGGTTAGGGCGAGACATGGGCTCCAGGATCTGGAGAAAAACGATGTCAGCTCTCTCCTGTAAAGTAAGGACGGATGAAGTAACATATTTAAAAGCCCTCGAACAAAGTGAATGTATGAGAGAAAATGTTTTCTTGCTTTAGATGGTTCGTTTTCCTCTGTGTGTTTAGCTTAAATGATTTTAAATACATAGAAGCTACTGTTATCTGTAATTCGTTGGCAAAGATTTAATTACATTGCCCACAGCAGGAAAGAACAACTGGCAATTTTATCCACCATTCTGAAAATATAATTAGTTAATGAAGGCCCTCCCGTTTGGTCAGAAATGTCACCACAACAAAATGTAGTCAGGTTACCTCAAGCGAATAGCCACTCCTGTGAAATGGTATCACACTTACAAAACATAAACAATTTTCTCTTTCTAGTGACGTTTTACTAATGTACTACTAACCTTATCTTAAAATGTAGCTTCAGAAATGGAGAAGTATATAGAAACACAGTCCTTGAACATATTAATTACTTAATCTTATGAAGAACCGTCTATGTAAAAAAAAAAATACAATGATCAGCCAGGCACAGTGGCTCATGTCTATAATCTCAGCACTTCAGGAAGCTGAGCCAGGAGGATAGCTTGAGGCCAGGAGTCCAGCCTGGGCAACATAGCAAGACCCCAACTCAACAACAACACAAAATTAGCCAGGCATGGTGGCACACACCTGGAGTTCTAGCTACTTGGGAAGCTGAGGCAGGAGGATCACTTGATCCTGGGAGTTCGAGACTACCATGAGCTATGATCAAGCCAGTGCTCTCTAGCCTGGGCTATAGAGCAAGACTCTGTCTATCAAAAAAAGAAAGTTTAACAGTAAGGCTAAGAGGTAAAATGGACATGGTATTTGGCAGGAGTTTCTGTATTTCAATCTATTCTGGGTTATGAATAACAAAAGTACAATGCACATAGAAAAAACTCAAAATATTTCCTGGGTGTAAGAAAACTGAAAAAGAAAAACAGAATAGAACAATCCTTTTCAGTCCTCAGAAGGCATTTGAATCACATGGAACCTTTAGAAAAACACCAGTTCCCAGGCCTGACACTCTGAGATGTTAACTTAATTGGTCTGGGAGACATAGAATTGGATACTTCTGAAGATTGCCTAGTAGAGGAAATGCCCGAATCATGTTCTGGGCATAATATTCCAGCCTGGGTTTCTAATATACTTCTTCAATTTCTGAATGATTTTATGTCTTATCAACTGGGACATTTAAGAAATTTCCCATATTTATAAATCTATCAAAAGACTAGAATTCATGTTGTAGCTATGAACACCATGGAAACTACGAATAAGTGCTGAATCTAACCTCCTCTCACGCCTCCAGGAGACTCCTATCAGCAATAGTAAATTTGTGCTGATAGTCTCAAGCCTAATATGCGTTTTGAACAAAAGCACAGAATTTTAGGGTGGCTAACTCTAGTTTAGTCTATGGTCATGAAATAAAGCAGAGGATACTGGCCTACGGAGAGAGCTAATCCAAAGCAAGGTGATATGGTTTGGCTGTGTCTCCACCGTCTCCACCCAAATCTCATCTTGAATTTCCACGTGCTATGGGAGCAACTTGGTGGGAGGTGATTGAATCAGGGGGGCAGGTCTTTCCCATGCTGTTCTCGTGATACTGAATAAGTCTCATGAGATCTGACGGTTTTAGAAAGGGGGTTTCCCTGCACAAGCTCTCTCTTCTCTTGTCTACCACCATGGGACACGTGCCTTTCACCTTCTGCCATGATTATGAGGCCTTCTCAGCCACATGAACTGTTAAGTCCATCAAACCTCTTTCTTTTGTAAATTGCCCAGTCTCAGGTATGCATTTATCATCAGCACGAAAACGGACTCATACACAAGGCCTAATTAGTCTGTTATGCTTTGTCTTCACAGCAACCTTGTCTCTGTCAAAGATCTGGGTGAGGAGGCTTTGAACTACACACTCTCTCAGTCACAGAGCGGGAGCCGTGAGGCAGGAAACCACCAGGCACGTCTACTTTGTCCCTTCCCTAGGGACAAACGCACAGGAAAAACCGTAATAACAGAAGGATCTAGAGAGGGTTACCCACAGTTTCGTCTACCACCTTTAAACTAAAAGCACTCATCAAGTAATCTTATTTTCTTTTGTGGAATTCATTACGACATCACGTCCTGCCTTGTCCATGTTGTTTTAACTAGTTCCTATTTTAAGTGGGTCACCATGCTGATTATTCGGTAATTGTCACTGCCATTTCAGATCCTTCTCTTCCTGCCCTCTGCCCTTGGAGGCTGACCCCTGTGAGCTGCACCAACCCTGTCCCCTTGCATTTGTTTTCTGTTTGAGTCTGGCCAATGAGAAGCATAAGCGGATCAAAGGACAGGAGGAAGGAGAGGTCAGGGCATTTCTTTCCTGCTTCCTCCAAGCCTCAAATCTATGTGCCTAGCATAGCTGTGCTTCCCCCTCCGCAATTACAGCTCCAGCTCTCAATGGGCTCTGGTAACAGCATTTCCTCCCCTTCTGTAATCCAGTGGAGGGTAGTGATAATTGCTTTCCACTGGTGTTAGTCTCTGCCTACCTCATCATCCTTTTTTTTGCTCCTTTAACCCTATACTCGCCTCCATTAATAGATTCAGCTAGATGATTCTGTTACTATTGAAACCCTGGATGAGCAATATCATGCAAATGCACCATCACTTTACAGTATACTGCATTTAAAAGTTCATTAAAGTTTAAATTATTTCTGTCAAAAAGTGATTCGACAATCCAGAATGAAATGAGAATCAGTTAAAACAACAACATGAACCAACAATGATGTCACTCTGGCTAAATGTAATTAGAAATTAAAAATCTGGAAAGGAAAAATGATACGTGTATGATGCAATGTTAGCAAACATTTTTGGCAATGTATCTTTGGCTAAAAAAAGAAATAGAAGCAAGATATATCTAGGAAGTAGACTGGAGTCTAATAACGACATCTCCTCAATCTGTTGAAGTGAAACGTACGAGAGAAAAAGCAAGATGAGGAAGCCAGAAGCCATCATCAAATGACAGGTACAATTGCAAAACACCGTATAGAGAAAGAGAAATATCTCAGGACATGAAATTCCCTTTTAGGAAATCCCCTAACAAAAGTGAACCTGAGGATAATAAATAAGACATGGTTCATGATTTGGGCCAAAAAAAAAAAAAAAAAAGATATAACTGGGAGATGACCTCTGGCATTTTTCAAGTAAACTTCAAAAGCATGCAAGCCTGGGCAACAGATTAAGACTCTGTCTCTACCAAAAACATAAAATTTTTAAAAAATTAGCCGTGTGCCATAAACTATATGCCTATAGTCCCAGCTACTCTGGAGGCTGAGGCAGGAGGATCACTTGGGCCCAAGGAGGGAGAGGCTTCAGTGAGCTATAATCACACCACTGCACTCCTGCACTCCTGGCTTCCTCGTCTTGCTATTTCTCTCATACATTTCACTCAACAGATTCAGGAGATTTGGTTATTAGACTCCAGTCTAATTATTAGATATATCTTGCTGCTATTTCTTTTTTTAGCCAAAGGTACATTGCCAAAAATGTTTGCTAACATTCATCATACACTTACCATTTCCCTTTTTCCTTTCCAGATTTTTAATTTCTAATTATATTTAGCAGAGTGACATCATTTTGGGTTCATGTTGTTGTTTTAACTCTGTCACTCTTGGTGACAGAGCAAGACCCTGTCTCAGAAAACACCATACAATTACCAGGAGTAGAGTTAACCTTACATAACTCTATGCAGTAGAGGTGGCTTGCAACTGCTGACATGTGTGCAGAGTGTCCCTACAGAACTTAGCACCAAATAGACATAAAGCTGGTTCATATTTCTGCCTAGAGGGTCTAAGTTATTCTGAGTCCTCAAGAATCAAGGAGACAGAGCAAGAGTTCACTTCCAGAGAAATGGAAGATAACAAATTAAAGTCCAGAAAGTGAAAGGCAAAAAAAATGAAGTAAAAATACAAGCTCTTGTCTTGCCAAAGGCTCATGTGTTAATGGGGCCATCCTTTGGCTTGTAAAAATCTTATGTTGGGAAATGGGCTGAGCACACACATGTATGTGAACACAACAACAGTTATCACATCTTACACTTAGAAGGACTCAAGAACACATGTAGCAAAACATGCCTGTTAAAGACAAGGAACTGAGGGTCATAGAAGGGTCATAGAAGTGAAATGTTCAAGGATACACACACACAAAAAAGAAAAAATCGAGACTGGAAGCAGCCGAGTCTAGATTTCTCAGGACCAGTGCTTTTCCCACTAACAGCTATTCATCCAGAGGTCTCTACAGGTGTAGACTTCCCAGTGGTGAAAGGATTCTCAGAGGAGAAACTAGAGCGAAGAGCCTTGGCCATCCACACGCTCATTTGGGTTAGCGTATTTCACAGGTTTATAACGCCCAGGTCAACACAGATGGAGAGAGTACGGGAGGCCATCTCCTAACATTCAAAAATCTGCTCTATGGAATATGGAGGTTGTCTGCATAGCAAAAAAGTTTCTGTCCTTCCCCTTTATTTTTCTAGGATTGAAAACTGCATATGTAGTCAGGGGAAAGAAGGCCATTTTCTCAATACCAAGTTCTGTTCTTCAATAAAGTAGTTGCAATGATGATGATCAAACCGTATCAGGAAATTAACTTTTTTCCTTTTAATTATCTAAAACTACTTCCAGAGATGTGTTGAAGCTACTCATATATTCTTGAAAATTCCAAATGTACTTTAAAGAAAAATTCAAATGAGATAGCGTAAGCCCTTGAAGGCATGCTTAAGAAGTTGAGTTTTATCAGAGCATATAACCTGACACACATTAGGAAAACAGCTGAATCTTCAATGAAAAAGAAATCCTCAAGCTGTAACATATTGTTTCAGTGTATCTATAAATGAAATGTCTTTTCACTTCATAAACATTAAAAGTAAAACTATACATAACTTTTTTCTTTTTTTTTTTTTTTTGAGACAGAGTTTTGCTCTTGTTACCCAGGCTGGAGTGCAATGGTATGATCTCGGCTCACCGCAACCTCCGCCTCCCAGGTTCAAGCAATTCTCCTGACTAAGCCTCCTGAGTATCTGGGGTTACAGGCATGCTCCACCATGCCCAGCTAATTTTGTATTTTTAATAGAAACGGGGTTTCTCCATGTTGATCAGGCTCATCTTGAACTCCTGACCTCGTGATCTGCCCACCTCGGCCTCTCAAAGTGCTGGGATTATAGGCCTGAGCCACTGTGGCTGGCCCATAAAATCTTTTAAGAAGTCAAGTCGCTGATAGGCAATATAAAATGTGAAAGTAAACAACCTGACTTTTCAAATAAAGAAGGAAGACCATCCCTTCCAAATAAATATTCCCTAAAAAATGGCATGACAATGAAGCCTTCCTGTACATTTTGAAAGGTTAACACATACATGCCAGGAATAGCCCTTCATTAATTTTTTATTCATAGATGTTCCCACAGTAACAAATTTAACTTGTGCATTCTTTTTGTTCAATGTAGTATATTGACAACTTTTATATTGGTCAGTTTCATTTCTGCTACTGCCAATTGAAAAGCTTGTTGGTCCTAAAGAAAGCACATGGTACAAGTGATTTTCCAAATCAGGGTGCCAGAAAGGGGTCAAATTCAATTTCCCAACATTCCTAGCTCTGAAATAACTTTTTTTTCACTCTTTGAACAAAGCCTTTATTACTAATAACAGAAACAATAAAATGATTAATAATATAATCACGGCAGCTCTGTATATAAAATAATTTTTAAAAATCTAATCTGGGGGAAAAACCCCACCTCACTTCTACAGTAGAGTAAAATCTTGCCAACAGTTGGAAAGGGCATAAAGAAAGGGAGGGAAGGAATAAATTAAAAAGAAAGTAATAACTAGACATTTCTAATTAATCATTCCTCGTTTCCTTGTCTTATTACCTCTCATCAACATTCTAATGTCTCCTTAAATTGTTGATGAATGCCCTACAGTTACCACTATTCGATTAAGTAAGGAGTTGGCTTAAATGCAAATCAAAGCACTGGAACATAAATGAACAAGTGAGCCCTGTTGGTGCTGGCCATCATTAAGGGGCAGCCAGAGCCAAGCTCCAGCCACTTTCTACCACAACGGAATATGAACTTAACAGTAGCAGATCTTCCTGATGTTCAAAAGAAGCCAGAAATCTGCATTTTTACGTAAAAGTCTCCTACTTGTAAAATATTGGCTTATTTTTAAAAATTTGGTCTCAAGCTGCATGTCTATAGCTGGATCCAGCTCATCTCCAGTTTGCAGCCTCTGGCTTCTATAGAAACTCTCAACTTTACAATATGATTCTAAAATATCATCACAAAAGTCCTCCTGCAGCGAGAGAATGTGATTAGGAGCAGAGAGTAGTGGTGCAGTCAGCGCGCCCCGCCACTGTATCCTGGTCGCCTTATGTGTTTAGAAATCTACTACCACCAGACTAGAGATTTTTTGTAGGCAGAGCCACACCTTATTTGTCTTAGTTTCACAAGCGTTTGGCACACGGAAAGCACAAAACAAACATATTTGAATGAAAGAATAAGTAAATGAAAAAATACACACCAAATGAATGTACTCTCTGTAAATCTCCTCTAACCCATTTTGTCTCACATGTAACTCAGCGAAAAGACTGTTTTTAGTCATTCTACATCGTAATATTGAGTTGCTCTATAACCTCGTAGAATAAACGGCCGCAAAGATTAATGAGTCGATGAATTAAGGGCAGGCTTTCTGAATTTCCACTGCTCAATTAAAGTCGAGAAACAAGTAATTCGAATAGCTGATATGAGACAGAAAATAAATTTTAAGCAGGAAGAAGAGCAAGGAATGCAGATGAGAAGGGAGTCCCCCTACTGTTTCTATGTGATCACAAAAGACTCCTGTATTCATTGTAGACGGGTAATTCTAGAGTGGTTTGTGGTTGTGGATGTTATCATTGTCGTTTTAACTATGCTGTTCCTTTTTCTACTGTATAACTCCCTACAAGTGAGGAGGGAAGTGGAGGTTTTGAGGGAGAAGAGGAATTCCTGATGCAGCCAGGTGGTAAGAACCAAAAGGAAAGTTCCTCCCATGCTGTTTCTGCGCAAATGGGAATGTTTTCAGTCCAGATTACAAGGAGGCCTGATTTAGAGTCCCTGTCATCTGTCAGCTAGTGGACATTCTTCTCTCTTTCCCTTCCAGACACACACGGTTCTATGTGCTTTGGAGCTCAACTTCTTTTTCACTATAATCCTTGGAACAAAATATCCCCACTGTATACCTAGTAAATCAATTTACCATCGTGGCTATAAAATCCAGTTTCGGGTGACTCTCAGAGAGCAACTCAGGGAGCACTTAGTAGCTTCATTATCACCAAAGAAGTAGGAAACATAAATAAGTTTTCTGCCCTGCACGGAGTTTGGCAATGCAGACTTTACTGAACCGCTGCAGAAGGCTTACATTTTCTGAAGCAACGCTTGGTACCTATGAGCTGACAGTGATGAGTAACAGTCTAGGGACAATGCAAGAAATTAACTGAAATGAGAACAGCTTGGGAAATTCACAATGCCAAAGTAAGCAGGTGAAGGAAGAAAGAAGAGGAGCTCGAGGGCTTGGCTCTAGCATAAAACATGAAACATACCAGAACAGATGATGGCGTTGCCTGAAGACTCGAACTTTGTGTGTTCCAAACTAGATCTTCAGTTTGGTGACGCAAAACTCCTCTCACTGAGGAAAGAACGATATTAAAGAACAGGTTTAGTTGAGGCGCTATGGTATTTAAGGGGCAGGGACAACTGCGATATTAAAGAACAGGTTTCGTTGAGGCGCTATCGTGTTTAAGGGGCAGGGACAACTGCGATATTAAAGAACAGGTTTCGTTGAGGCGCTATCGTATTTAAGGGGCAGGGACAACTGCGATATTAAAGAACAGGTTTAGTTGAGGCGCTATCGTATTTAAGGGGCAGGGACAACTGCGATATTAAAGAACAGGTTTCGTTGAGGCGCTATCGTATTTAAGGGGCAGGGACAACTGCGATATTAAAGAACAGGTTTCGTTGAGGCGCTATCGTATTTAAGGGGCAGGGACAACTGCGATATTAAAGAACAGGTTTCGTTGAGGCGCTATCGTATTTAAGGGGCAGGGACAACTGTGATATTAAAGAACAGGTTTCGTTGAGGCGCTATTGTATTTAAGGGGCAGGGACAACTGCGATATTAAAGAACAGGTTTAGTTGAGGCGCTATCGTGTTTAAGGGGCAGGGACAACTGCGATATTAAAGAACAGGTTTCGTTGAGGCACTATCGTGTTTAAGGGACAACTGAAAGCCAAGTTCTTCCTGTTCACAGTTGAGATTTTGGCAGAACATACGCAACACACTTACTTAGAAAATGCTTGCGACTTTATTCGGATATTTTATTGATATTAGCACAATCTGTCTGAATTATAAGAATCCAACATAAAATAAAGATTCTTCCCATTATTACATTTCAGACACTCCTATATTACTTTTTTCCTTTTTCAAGTCAGTTTTTATTCTGTCCAAGATTCCTATGAAGTGCTTATTTTTAAATTAATTTTTAAGTAAAAAAGTTGTACTGAAATTTCAATTCCTTTGGTTTATGCTAAGAGTGATAGAAAAACATGAAAAATAATTACCTTTTGGGAAGACAGTGCCTTTGAAAACTGAGCTAAGACACCAAAAATCTTTATCGTTGTAATGATATTAAAGAGCAACATAGAGAGTAGATCATGTAATTTAATTCAACAAAAATTTAATGAATCCTTGCTAGTTACCTCAGACTTTGCCAAAGTTGAGGCTACAAGCATTAATAAAGCCAAGTTTCTCTTCTGGGAGCATTACATGTAGCAGAGAAATAAACAAAAATTATAAGACAATGTGAGGGGCATATATACAATGTACAAATAACACAGACGAAAAAGTTGCTAATTTTTCCCAGAGGGGAGAGCGAATCAATAAAAGCTAAAAAGACAGGATTGCCAGGAGAGCCATCTGGTGTATGCAACCACAAATAGAAGCAGAGTCTCTTTATTCACCTGTTCCCACTGGCCTGACATGGAGAAATCAAGCAAAAGTCAAAAACCCTATTTGGCTTAAGTATTTTCTAAAACTTTTCTTTTCTTTTTTTTTTTTTCTTTCCTTCTCTTTTTTTAAAGATGGGGTTCCACCATGTTGGCCAGGCTGGTCTTGAACTCCTGACCTGAGGTGATCCACCAACCTTGGCCTCCCAAAGTGCTAGGATTACAGGTGTGAGCCACCAGGGCCAGCAACTTTGAAGCACTGTGTATACAGTTATCTTGTCTTCTACGAAAAAATAACCTCCACAAGATCAAGGAGTGACATGGTTTGGCTCTGTGTCCCCACCCAAATCTCATGTTGAATTGTGATCCCAAGTGTTGAAGGTGGGGCCTGGTGGACGGTGACTGGATCATCGGGGCAGATTTCCTCTTTGCTGTTCTCATGGATAGTCAGTGAGTCCTCATGAGATCTGGTTGCTCAAAAGTATGTAGCACCTCCCCCTTATCCTTCTCTCTCTCCGTCCCTCCCTCTCTCCCCCTGCCTCCCTTTTGCTCCACCATGGTAAGACATGCCTGCTTCCCCTTCCCCTCTTCCTCTTCTGCCATGATTCCTGAGGCCTTCCAACCATGCTTCCTGTACAGCCTGTGGAACTATAAGTCAATTAAACCTCCTTTTTTCATAAATTACCCAGCCGCAGGTAGTTCTTTATAGCAGTGTGAGAATGGACTGATACAAAGAAGATCGTATCTTTTGAGATAATGATCAAGTTACATAGAAAGCTGCCACCATTCAGAACTCTGAAGTTGGCCTGACAATAGAAATCGATTTTAGGGACAAAATTCTGAGTAATGGAAGCATATGTCTAATGAAAGTCCAAGGCACCTGAATTAGTTAGTACTAGATATTGTAAAGCTTTTTGTGAACTTGCGTACAAAGTCTATGGAAGTTCTTTACCTCTTTTTAGGACAGCTTTATGAAAGTAGCTCCACCCACAGACTCCACATAAAAGGAAGATCTTGCAATACTGTTTGTGGATGTAGATTCCTAAGTAACCTCTTTATTTATTGTTGACCTTAATCTTCATGTGATTCTCCTAGCACTCCAGTTACTGACCTTGATGTTTGCACCTTCTGCTCAATGGAGGTTCTTAACTCCCTTAGGTCATGATCTCCTAACTGTATCTTTTCTCTGTCTGATCCCAATATCCTGATTCCTAGAATCTTCTGCCATATGCTGTCCCCAAGGTTAGCCCAGCTAATCTCTATTAGCATTGACAGAGGGACTTCAGCAGTTTCAGATTATAACAAGCTTCTTATCTATTCACTATTTTATGTAGCCCTAGTATTCCAACAGAGATTCAACGATGATAAAAGAGTATATGAGGAAGTGAGCCCGGGGTACCTGCGCCAAAATATAAAGGCTCCCTAATGTTTAAGAATGAATGGTTCTATATATATCACTCCCATTCACTGAAGACAGAGTTTCTCCATCTTAAAGTCCTGTGTAATTCATATAAAGCTCAGGTCACTTTGTGGCCCTGTGGCAGCAGAGTGTCACATTACAAAAAAAAAAGTTAGTCCAGCAGCAAAAATAGTTGAAAGGAATGTAAAAGTTTTAGTCTGGACTCTCAAAACAAACAAACAAACAAAAAACCACACACACACACACACACACACACACACACACACACACACACACAAACCTTATTTTGGAAACAAGAGATTAAATCACACAGTAAAATTTTATTAAAATTTTTCTCTGCCTTTCTCTGTTTTTCACACACAAACAAATACACACACATGCACGTGCACACACTCACATACACACATAACTGCCTGGAAAGACAAGACTTTTGTCTCTGTCTAAAAATTCTCCCAAGCCCCAACTCAAAAAATCTTGATTCCTATGTTCTTCCCTACCTTACGTTTCAAATCTACTATTCTCTTCCATTATTAATTTTCTGATCTTCCTATGTAAATCCATAAGCCTCTCTGGCTTCTCTAGTGTCTATTTTTGTTTATTTGTTATACACACACACACACATGCACACACACACACACGCACACACACACCCCCCTATGTCGTAGCTGCCTAGAAGGACAGGGCAGAGGCTCTTTTCTCTTTAAAACGTGTGGGAGCTGGAGAGGTTGTAGAAATGTATCATTCGTATTGCCTCACGTGTAGATTTTCCCCCTTGGCAGCTGGTACTTCTCCAATGCTGTCACTTCAGTAATGTATATTCCACCAAACGTTTTAAAAGCTAAGTTACCAAAGAGTAAAGAAATCATGGAGAAGAGAAGCGAATGCAAAATAGCAGGTGAGTTAGCAGGATACCATGGCCCTGATAAGTTAAGATGCTGCATCCTAGTAGCCAGACTCTTAGCAAGTTTTAAGTCCTGGGTTGACTGGGCACCCTGTAGCCTCCAAATCCAAGGTAGACACCCACTTCTGATGATCCCTCATATCCACCTATTCAGTACGTATCATAGCAGGCTCTCCATAGCCATCTGAATTCAAAGTCAGTGTAATTGGATTACCTGGGATTCTGCACAGCACCCGCTATCACTTCTTCCTTGACCTAGAATTTCCGTTACCTTCCTTGAGCTCTTTCTTTTTGCTACGCTCTGATTTTTAAGCCTTTACCAGCTGACTTACCTTAGAGAGTTCATGTCTCGGGACAGCATTATTGCCTGTTTCAATGCTACTTTCAGGTACAGTTTTCCTTTTTCTTCTACTTTGCTCCCATTTCTCTAAACTATTTCTACCTGCCACTTTCCATATTCTGTAGCCTTTTGTTGACAAATATTCCAGAAAGCCCCTGATTAATCTATCCAAAATAGCTGCATGGCTGAAGCTCCACATCAGGTTGACTCCTGTCTCGAAAAGTCTAGAGAATGCTCAGAACCTTATATATTTAGGGAAATTCATTTTTACCAGAGCATGCTGGAAAAGAAACTGTACAAAAACTTCGTGATGGATATCGAACTCACCATTGATAAGCTGCAAGGAGTCAGGATCTGGATTCAAGGAAGAGTTCCCCAGCAAAAAGTTCTGCTGCAGTGTCTCAGCAATATAATCTCTGAAGTTACTGATTGTGTAAACCACAGTGGGCTTATCGTCCAGTTCCACAAGGCCGTGGTTTTCCACCTTGTTGGAGTGAAGGCTAATGAGGTCCCAGGTGGTATTGCTGATGGCCTCACCATTGAAGGTAACGGCATAGTAAACATCTACGCCACTATGGATGGAAATAAAGAACACGTTAGGTTCAGCTAAGGGAGCACAGAGAGAGGAGCACTGAACCCATGAAGAACAAACATAGGACCTAGAGGGGGAATCTCAAAGATCATGGATTCCATCACTTCTCTCTGAAAACCCTGGATGACCTTTTGCCATTCTTTCCTCCTTCCCAGAAAATGAGGGGTCATAGCTCTAAGAATAGAGAGAAGAATTCTGAGGAAGCCACAGAGGCAATCCTGCAGAATGATCTGAGCACCTTCCTCCCCGATATTATGGTTTCTTTCCCCTTTCAAAGCCAAGTCCTCCCGCTTCACTGCCAGCCTCCTTCCTTCTCACCCGACTGGCATTTCTGCCCCCAGTTTTTAAAAAAGTCTTTCTCATTTCTCCTCACAATGCAAAATCCTCTCACATCACTTCATTATTGTTGGTAGATGAATTACGTAGTGAAACATAGTTATTTATTGTGGTAGGAAAATTATGGGAAACTTGATACTAAAGCAAATTGATGATTATTTGCCTTTAAAATGTTGTGGGAGAGTATTTTCTAATATGACAGTTCTTTCATGAGACATAGTTTTGTTTGATAACCCAGACAACTTACAGTTCTATAAAGTTTAAGATTAAATTGTAAAACACTATTATGAAGTAATTTTTTTTCTTGGCCCAGTAGGAAAAATATCTCTAAAGTTCCATTGTACTACCCTCCAGGGCATTAACAATTTTGTATGTAACTTAGAAATCTGTTCCCAAATAAATATATAAATTTCTCTTTTTCAGATACTCTAGAAACAAGCGCGCTCTCTCTTTTTTAAGCCAACTCCCTTGTTAATGAATTACGTAAAACCTCAACAAGTACTAACAAACAGCACTTGTCTGGGAAATAAGCGTTTTCCTCGTCAACCTTTCCATACACAAACAAAGAGGAGACTTCTTGGACCACAGGACAGAAAGACAGAAAATAAATAAGTATGAGTTGATGTGTTGACATCTTCTTAACTAGACTTTTGGAGAAATAACATCAGAATATAAAATTTTAAAGCAAACAGAAATACTCCTCTAGACTCCAGCTCAGATTTCTCTGAAAGCTAACCGTTTGTAAGTGCTTATAATGTGATAAGTATTTTACATGCTTTATCTCATTTAATTTCCATAATAACCTGATGAAGGATATTTTAGCTTCAGAATATTGTTGAGGGAACAAGCCATTAGAGCAGTTAAAAGACTTCCTTTAGATTTTATAACATTTATTAATATGTAGCAGAGTAATTATTTCAGCACAGACCTGTCTGACGCCAGCCCCTACATTCTGAATTACTATGCCACCCTCTCAGTAGCTTTAATTAAACTATTACCCAAAAAAAGTAATTATGAGGACAGCTCAATACCAGTCATCACTCTGGGTTTCAGCCAGGCTCTCCAACACATCCGTCACAGTAAGCACACAGCAAGCCACACCAAGATCCCTCCAGAGAAAGGAGAACACTACCCTCCCAGAGACAAACCATTCAAGACAGCCAGGCAGTAAAAGCCATTCGCCACTCTCAGACATTCCACAGCAGCAAAATATTCCCAAAACAAAGCATACAAATAAATTAACAAAAAAGTGAATAAAGGCTACAGTTGATATTTAAAAGATCCGTTTAAAACAAGCTGATTGAGCCAATATAAATTTCTAGAGACATATTGAGCTGGATCTTTTGGGAAGAGTTAGTGAAACAGTCTTCCCCAGGAAGTAATACCACCCGTCTCTCTAAGATAACATGACAGCCTCAGAGGTGATGAGTGTTTCCTTGAAGTAAGAGGTTAATACTAAAAGTACAAGGAAAAGGCTGGTCTTTCCTGCCTTCAAAGAATCTCTCTTTTCATTATTTATAAGGTGTTTAAATGAGATTTTAAAAAAGAAGATACAACAGTTCCCTAACTGTTGGGATATTGAATATCCTCAACATAAAGAAACGATAAATGTTTGAGATGATGAATATGCTAATTACACTGATCTGATCATTATAGATGTATTAAAACATCACTATCTACCCCAGAAACATGTGAAATTATTATGTGTCAGTTTAAAAAATAAAAAGTATAAGAAAATGAAAAAAAAAAAAAAAAACAAGCTGATTGTGTTTCGTTAAGCAGTACATCTTGTGGATGCAAAAATGAACTCACCCCTCCCACCTCTTTCTTCAACTACTGGAAACCTGTTAAGGGAAGCTGATACAGAGAGACAACTTGCTCCTTTCCATCAGCTTTATAATAAACTGTTTAATGTGCGGTTTCAGTAGCGCTTCGTTTTTGCACATCTTTAAATTATGACGTGCACAAACCTTCTTTTCAATGCGATGCATCTAAAAGTTTCGATGCTTGTAACTTTTTTTTTTTTTGGTTGCAATTGTTTAAGAATCATGGATTTATTTTTTGTCACTCTTTGGCAATTGTCCTTGTGTATCCTGACAGCGCCATGCGTGTCAGCCCATGTCAATCAAGATGGGTGATTATGAAATGCCAGACTTCTAAAATAAATTCAATGGGTAAATAAATGCTGCTTTGGGGGGAAAAAAGTGAATGAAATTAAAGTGCTTCTGCCTCTGAACTTATACATTCTTATATATTCCTTTATTATAGTCTTCATTGTTTTGTACAGAGATTTGTTTACAGTGACATTGTCTCGGTTGCTCCTTGAGTTTCTATCCCCGGTGCTTAGCTTGGTACCTGGCACAGAGAGGTACCCAGTGCCTACTCAATGAACAAAAATATGTACTTGTCTGAATGTAAAAAGGAAACTGAGGCATAATCAAGGTATTTACATATCTAAAGGAAAACATCAACATAATGAGGATGATATCATAGAAATCAGTCAGCCAATTTATGTTACTGGGTAGTGGAAAGCTTCTGACCGGTATACTGGAGGTTCCTGGTGCAATCAACAGACCCCTAGACTGGAGATGGTCACAATAAGCTGCCATGGCTGGATGATAGTGGCTGTTGAGATCATCCAACTTCCTCTTTTTGATTTCAAGTTTGTAAAAGAAACTTTTGATGATAGCTCCCTTCAAATTTTCTTATGAGGAAAGAATGTGTGCGCCAGTCAATGCTATAACAATTGATTGGTCTGTTGACACATCTATTTCTCATTTTTAAATAGATCAATGGGCATCCTAGAGAATTCACTGTCTTTTATGGTTTGATAAGCATGAATGGTCTTAAGAGACTTCTTCGTGGGAGCACGGGGCTGGACCTGGCCTGGCCTACATGGCAGAGATCATACACCCTGAACTGCGGGGGAAGCCGTGAAGGTGACACTCCCACCTGCCATACAAGCAGCGAGGTCTTTTTGATATTCCTGTCTTACTCTGAGTAACTTCAATACCGGATGAGATAGTCTTCCTCTTGTAACTCAGTGGTGCAGGCCTCTGAAAACTGGGAACTGAGCACTTTGACACCCTGATGCTCTAAGTAGTAAAAACATCTGCTTGTCTCTGGAACTTCCCTCAATCCTCTAAACAAAGTACTTCAATTTTGCACATTTAAGTATGTTGATTCATAGGTAGTTCCCAATTTTATAAAGAAGACAATTCAGTAAAATACGCTAAAATATCAAACGATGGTTCCAAGATAGAATAAAACAATCAGAGGGTCACCTACTGATCGGAAGTCACACACCATACTCCTGTCCCTTGCTCTTTCTGAGTCTTCAGTCATCCTGATAGACTGGCAAACCACAGGCACCTGCTCTGTTTCTGGATCTTTGCACATACATTTCCTTCTCTCTGCAACGCCTGCTACTACCTCCCAGCCCTTTCAGCCTCCACATACACATGGACACACATACAGATTCCTTCTGCACCTGGCTATTTCTTTTTTACTTCAGCTTAGCTGTCACCTCCCACAGAAACTTCTTTCTAACATGAAGACGTGGTCGGTGGTCATGTTCTATCTCCCCACCAGCTATATAGGCACACTTATTTTTTGGCTCTGTCTCCAGCATCTAGCACAATGCCTGGCTCATAGCCGGTCAATACATACTTGTGAAAATAATGAAGAAACGAATGATCAATTTTGTTCCCTAATGCAGGTAGATAAGACAGTTGAATTTATGTCACTTAAATAACAGTACATGCTATGCCAGACTTAATCTGAAGCATTTTCATACCTAAATACAACAGAGCAAGTTTTAACCCTAAAGAACATTCATGTTAGCTGCATACATTTGTATCTTCTGGTTAATCATTTTAGAGACACTGCTTCATGGCCGCAGCCCAGCTCTGAGAGGATGTGAATGCTCTTCCAAGTCTTAGTGTGAGGGACCATATCTACCTCTCCAGAAAGGTGGGCTTCTTTTCGGGATTTTTGCACGAACTAGTAAACTTACTTCTAGTGTAAGTATGACTCTAAGTTTAAAAAAAAAAAAAGAAAAAAAGAAGAAAAAGAAGGAAAGGCTATGTCCCAGTTAGCACTTTAGCTGTCCTTAGACTATGCAGAAAATCACACAAGGAGAGTCAAGCATTTACTGGGAATCTGCCACGTGCCTTGTGTGACTTTTAAATATAAGGAAAAGATCAAGACAAATGTTCCTGGATCAAGAACACCATGCAAATCAGGCAGTCTGGAATAGATTACTTTATTTGCCTCCCAATGTTTCCATTGGACATCTGAATATAATACTTCTATTATAATCTACCTTGTCTAGTACAGAGTTTGTTAAAGAAGATAAAATGCCTCAGAAAGATGTTGTAATTTGTTACCATGTTTTTGTCCTGGAAGGAGAACTCACATAAGCGCTTGAGATACCAGAAAACCATCTATTTTGGGGGCCAAGAACATCAGTGTGACTCAGAACAGATGGAGCGCTGGCCGTAACGGAGTACAGAGATATCTCAGGATGAGGGACAGAATAAAGGAAAGCCAAGAGGCCAAGGAAATACATGAGAAGCAGAATATACAGTGGTAGACAAAATAGTCTCTAATTGAAGAAAGCTGTACTGGCTCCCCATGCTCAGC